CTTAAAATGTTACTTGGGAATGGTTATTGAATCCCTCGGAAAACGGTTTGTTCAAATCTATCCTACCATTTGATCATCATCCTTTTTCTCGGTTTTGGCTGCCGTGGTGCCATTCTCTTCCTTGATGTTTCGGGGCTCTCCGAGGAAGACTTTTGCTCTTGTCCGCATCGGTGTTCGTTTTGTGGGCATTCTCCAAAACTTTGATGAACTGTTCCAAATCGCCATTGTTGGCTGCTGCCACGGCTTCCGTGTTCAGCTGTAATTGCGATACGACCGGTCCCAGCTGTCCCTATTGCAGGGCATTGGAAAGCATGCACGGTGAGGATAGGGGTTCCTTGAGTTGTTGTTTCTTGTTTTCATCGCCTTCGATGTTGGGTAAATGTTCCACCAGGGCATCAATCTTGTCCTGATCTGCGACAACCAACTAAAGGGATTCGGAATTGACCACTGTAGAGAGATCAACATTGCCTCGCTGAAGTTGAGTCCATTCCTGCTAGATAGCTCTGCAGATCCTAAAGGAGGGCACAGCGACAGTTCAAATCGTATTGGCGTGTATTGAAGTCTCGATTGACGTACCTTACAAAGGCATTACTGATATATTGATGCATTGACACATTAGTGGCGTATTTGTCTGAAATAAGGTATTTTTGTGCATTTAAATATAATTGAAATTGCAATGCATTTTATGTGTTTTAATGTAATATGCGTATTTCACGATGTATTGGCAACTTTTCGAGTATTAAAAGTATTTTTTTTTTAACAAAACGTATTTTCGATTCAGCACACCACCTACCCTAATAAAAATAATCATAAAAGAGAGCGATTAACGATGTGTTCGGGGTATCATCCAAACCATATGTGAGATAGTTTACCCATGCGGGATACAGTTCGTTTATGGTACTTGTTTATTAGGGTATCGACCCATCAACTCATGAACCGGGGACCAACGACTCTACTTCCCTGATCAGCGTGATCAGAGATGTTATGCCTCAGAACATCCCGGTGTCACCGACTGGGATTGAAGCCAGGCCTGCTGTGGTGAGAGGTAATCACGCTTAACACTACACTACCGGCGCCGCTAAAAAAAAAGGTGTTATGCGAGGTGTTATGTGAACATTGCGAGGGGGGCGACACATCTAAATCTCATTTCTAGATGCTCAAAAAATCTCACATTAGCGAATCAATCTTCGAAAAATCTTCTTTCATTTCTCGCATCTACTTGCATCGCGCATAATATTTTTGCAGGAAATCTTCAGAATCGTTATCAATCTTCATTCTATCTCCTCAGCGTGCATGTAGCTAGCCACAGCAAAACACAATCTTTCCTGCATCGTAGATACAGTCGCCCCCCTCGGAACATTGTCTTTTTCGGAAATAAAAATTTTCTTCGTCGCATTTTTTTTGTGTTATGGAAGGTTCTAGGAACATGACCTATTCAAAACTCAAGCGATTTTCTTGTTTTTCTTTTTTTTTAAGAATGGTGAAGAAAGCTTGTTCCTAAGCCTGTCCGAAACGAGGGGCTGTCAACATGAATATTTTCGATTCATCTTCATTATTAAATTAATTATGACATGTATTTTTCGCGTACAAAGTATTTTCGGGGTGTTTTTGTGTTTTACATTTCAGGTATTTTAGCTGGGGGCAAGACAGCTTTCGATCACGAGTAAAATCGGAGTTAATTTTGAGTAGCTCTAAGCAACTCGCGTTGATCAATATATTATACACATAGCAACCTGAATGTTATATTGAAAACAATGTTGAAACTGATGCTGTCAAGCAAAGTAAGTTGACGTGTTTTCCAGTGTTGCTCGATGAGCCTCGGAAACTTATAATTTATTCAAATTATATTCCAAAAGTGCAGAAGATTAATTTGTCGTTCCACTTATGCAGGAATACTTTTGGGGAAAAATCCAACGAGACGTTGGAAATGTTCTCCGCCACTTTAAAAACATTCTGAAGCTGGAGAGGCTAGCAGCAAACGGTGCGCTAGCAATGCTCACCCGGGAAGACATTTCGGCGAAGGCATTGCAAATGCGCTTTCGATACCACGTGTACGAAATGAAATTCAAGCTGCCCCTTCAAAGTCGACGGAAGATTTTTATGGCGATTATGCCAAACAGCAAGATAAGCTCAACATCGATAACACGTAGCACTACATTCGCAGCATATAACAAGAACGACGAAGAACCACCATCGTGGACTTTCTCATGACTATCGTTCAATAAGCTACTAGTGAGTATATGAGATATTCTCAAATTTGAGTCAATTGAACTAAATTTTGGGTAGAAAATACTAACGAGTAAGTAATTATTTTTGCCGTAGTTAAATGTAAACTAATATAAGCGGTTTACTGAAAATAAGCTTATTGAACGGAACATGGGAGATGAGTGAAAAGAACTTAATTTTGCGTAATTTTTCGGTTTCGTGTAGACGACTCAGCAGAGCAGCAGTGGGTTTAATTGGAATTTCTGTGTACGAACTTATAGTGCGGTTCGATAGGTTCGAATTAAACTGAAATAATTCAATAAATTCATTATGTGTGTAACATTAAAGCAATGTTAGTAGTAATTTATATTTTTTATACATATACACACAAAAAATAAACGTTAATAGAATTAAAAAAACCGTTGGTAGAATTAAAAGTTTGCATTGGTGCTTTTTGGTAGAAAGTCAGAAACTTTCAATTGCAAAAGACATGAACAGTTAAAATAAAAATGCTGAATCCTTTGATTTTAAAAGTCACAACTTTTATGATTAAATTTTATAAATGTCAAATTAAAAGTTTCTACTTTTGAAATGAAATTGTAGAACTGTCAAATTAAGAGTAGGTTAGGTCAAAATAAATTTTATCTTATTTCAAAATGAGAGCGTAGTTAATCAAATAAAATTTTATTTCTTTTTAAACATAAAGTTCATTGTTTTGATTTTTACATATATATATATATATATATATTTTAAATATAAAACTAACAAAAACAAAATTAAAAATACTGAATTGTGGAATTGACCACCATCCTCGTCAGCATCTGTTGAGCCGTCCATGCAATCCACTCCCCCTGCTTCAACCTTAAACTGTGGTGCTACCGTTTCAGTCATCTGGCTCAGAGTCCGGTGTGACCCAATCCGGAACGATGATCTTACTTTTGACAGATGCTGAAATTTCCGAAAAGAAAGCGATTCTATTATCATAAAAAACTCTCTAGTCTGAACAAGGCATTATCGTAGATAAACTTACCATATTCATCCTGTGGTATCGCCGTATTTTATTTATATTTTCAGCAGGTCTAGCTCACGGATGATCTGGTGAATGCAGCAGGGATTTGTTTTGAAAACTGGTCGAATAGAAATTAATAAAGCAAGCTTTTCAATTCTCGTTTTGCGCGTTTTTATTTTTATTTACTCACGTTATTCAAAAACTAACCAGAAACGAGTAGTAACCTACCCCCGAAGAAGTTGTTTTGACAGTAAAACAATTTTTGATTTGAAAATCTGCACTTTTAAAACTACAAGTTAAAATCAAAACATCTACTTTTGGATTGAAAATAACCTTGTTGTTTCAAATATTTTCATAGTTCAAGTAACAAATTTTGGGGTACTTTTAAATTGAAAGGTTAATATTTTTATTAATACAATTTTCGTTTTTTGTGTGTAGAAACTCGGTGAAAACGTAATTTATACAAATTTATTAATATAATAGATTACATTCCTGTATGTTTTTCAACAACATCAGAATACAGTGGCTTCCCATTTTTGGCAACATATGATTTTTGTTTATTATGCAATCTATAAATTCATAGAATGCTCTATTCGATTTATGATGTTACTCGACCATGCTTTAGGAATTAGACGCCATGAAATATTATACAGAATACATGGGTGAAAAATTTAGGCAATAAACAGATAAAATTGTTATGGCTATTTTGTTTAACGACGTGTTTGGGGTATCATCCAAATCATTTGTGGAATAGTTCTATTATTTGGGTTATCGTTCATTTATGGTAATTTTTATTAGGGTGGTGACGGCACTGTATTTAGTTGTTGGCCATGGTATGATTTTTAATGTTAACAAACTCCACGAAGCTGGCCAGAGCTGACCTAATCTGCCCTGAAATGAGCAGCTAAATAATATACCACAATCAACAGCGTATAATTTGTGTAAAATATGGAATCTTGTGGATCATTTCAACAAAACCTAACGATTATGTAATTCCTGTTGATCGTTTTAAACTCGTGTTGAAAACCAAATATGCTGTCAGACGATAAATCTCGATGAACATTTCAAATCAGGCATAACATTTGATAACGGCACAAAAGCATTTGTAAACAAACTTTCTAAAGCCTTTTACACGCGAACCAACGTACGCTCACGCAAACCAACAAAACCATCGGATAGGGGCAACTATTACCTTTCCGAAAATGGTATTGGTTTGCGTGGGCGTACTTTGGTTCGCGTGTAAAGGGCCTTAGAAAGTTTGTTTACAAATGCTTTTGTGCCGTTATCAAATGTTATGCCTGAAATGGTCCTATCTGCTTTGATCGATTCTCTTCATCGACTTTCTCTTTTCATAACCACTGCTATGCAAACAGATTTCGCGCTAATTCTACCACATAGTTTGATAAAGGAGGTTCTTATCTAGCGTCCAAAACGTCAAATACAACAGGGAAAGGTTTTGCAGCTGAGTTATTAACGAAAGAGAAAGTCGATGAAGAGAATCGATCAAAGCAGATAGGACCATTTGAAATGTTCATCGAGATTTACACTAGCCGAATTTTTTTTTTCTAAAAATGATTAAAATTTAATATTTTAAATAAATTTAACATGAATCATTGATTATTTGTTTTTGTTTTCCGTGCGCAAATATTTTCTTCTTGCATTCAACCTTCTTTACCGACCTAAGTGAGCTTAACGAAACTGTGATCTGTCATCTGTCATCTCCATGTTAGCGCCGTGAGCGAAACGCTCGGAAGCTAAATTTGGTAAACAAAAACTTCTCTCCGACTTGGGTTTCAGCATCAGCACGTGCGTGCATCTTTCGCGAATCGACATCAGCTGCGAATTTTACGAGTGATTTACGTTATTCTCCGACCGGAATATTCGATCCCCAAAACCATCCGGAATGGTGTTCTTTACGTGCAATCACTGCGGTGAATCGCTCAAGAAGCAAGCCGTCGAAAAACACGGCTGGAAGTGCAAACGCGAACTGAACGTTTCGTGCATGGACTGCCAGAAGGATTTCATCGGGCAGGAATTCGACGCCCACACCAGCTGCATCACTGAAGCGGAGAAGTATTCCGGCAAGGATTACGTTCCGAAAGCGAATGCAAACAAGGGTGCCAAGAAACAGGAAGCCTGGCTGGACACGATTCGATCGATTACCGACAGCAAGGGGAATCTGTCGAAGGGAATCACGGAAGTGTTCAATGTGATTAGGAAGAACGATAATATTCCTAGGAAGTCGAAGGGATTTCTGAACTTTTTCGCCAACTCTGCCAAGCATATCCGGAAGAATGACGTCGAAGCAGCCTGGGCCTTGCTGGAGGAAGAGGTGAAGAAAACTCGGAGCAACGCAGCGGAGCAGACGCAAACGAACGGAGTGGTTCCGGACGGTATGTGGATTCCGGGACAGAAGGCAACACAGAACGGAGCAGGAGACATCCAACAAAATGGATTCAAGAAGCGTAAGCTGGAAGATGACACGGAAGTGACTGCAGAGGAACCAGCCAAGAAGAAGAGTAAGAAAAGGACCAAACAGGCGCAGAACGGAGTCAGCGAGGAACATGAACAACTCGTTGAGGCGCAAGAGAATGGAACGAATGGTGATGCTGCTTCGGAGAAGTTCCAGTGGGGCGAAGTAATTCGAACGACGCTGATGTCCAAGAACAACGAGATGAAGCTGGAAAAGCTCAAGAAAAAGGTACTGAAGAAGTATCGCCAGTTGGTTGGTGCTGACGTGATGAGTGATAAGATTGATCGTAAATTTAGTAAGAAACTTACGAAACTAGGCGTTGAGGTGGATAACGACACTGTCCGGTTAATTGCGTAGTTATTAAAGAAAGCATTGATTCAGGATGTTTGGTTTATGTTCGTTTAGAAATGGAAGAGAAAATTCCTGGAAAGAATGAGGATATCGAGAAACCGCAGAATTAAAAAGGATTTCTTTTCGGACAAAAGTTCAACCAGCTTTAACGGTCATACCATCTATATTATTGAAATGCTTGCGATTTTGTACAACTCTCCTCAAGCATTATCTCTCCTCCGGATCTGCGTCTAGATCCTACCGGGAAAGGTACCTTCGGCGCGTTGCGTTTCCCACTTTTCGAGCCACACGGACGGGCAGAGATCGGTGTAAACATCCTTGAAGTACTTGCACACGCTGTCACCTTCGCCCTTGACCTTCTCGCACCGGTAGAAATCCAGGTAGCTCTGGAAGCAGTGCTTGGTTTGGTTCGTATTCGGGAAGCGCGGATCGAACGGAGTAGCCTTAATCTCGATCGCCGGCACCTCGGTCTCAGTCGGTTTCGGGGTCATTTTCAGGCCGGTTGCTGGGGGAGAAAAAAACGCAAATAAGAAGCAAATATTAGTCTGAAGGTAGAGATTGGCGGCACAATTAAGAGGGAAGGGTAATCTTCGTGCTGGGAGCAACTCATGGGGTGTTGGTGAAATGCCAATTTTTTTTAACAGAAAATATCGTTTTTTTTTCGTTGAGGATTGTGAAACACAAGGAAGATACTGAAATCAGTCAATCTGTTAGCATCCAATGTTCGGTAAAGTTATGATAGTCTCACGAATTTGCTTGCTGTTAGTATGGTAATTGTGTATACTGGCCAGATTTATCATTGAAATATATGTAAAAATAGGGTGCAAATTTTGAAAAATCAAAAAGTTGCATTCCGTTGAATCCGATTCGATAGGTTGTGAATTTTGTAATTTTGTAAAGTATAAGAATAATCGTCTGCAGATTTTACAACGTAAAATAATGTTAATAAGTTTGACAACTATCTATGAATATAATAACAAAAGTTCAACAGTCTTACTTTACCTTGCGCATTTGAACGCGGTACTCTGCTTTTTAAAACACTACACGTTTGTACTTTTCGAATGCCAGTGGAAATTTTTCTTCATTATTATAATTGGTTTACTAAAACGGGTTAGTTTATGTGTTTTACGATTAATGCGATTATATGTTGATTGTTACGTGTTGCATTTTAATTTTTACCACCGTGCCATTATTTTACGCGTCGCCTAACTTCGCGCATTGTTTGCAATAATTTGTAGTGTTTTGTGATATTTTCCAAATTTATATTTTACGGATACACATATATAATTTTTTATATCAATTCAAAATATCCTTACTAAAAATTTAGCAATGCGCAAAATTAGGGTCTTTGTACGTACTTTACGGTATACCTAATCCGATAAAGATTGGCTTATAATTATTATTTTTAATTTTGTTGATGTTTATTTTGATATCAAGGAATTTAACCTTTGGAGAATCTCAAACCTAATCAATGCTTGCTTTTGAAGAGTGTTATTTTTCTTTGAACTGAACTAAACATCGCCTATAACATCTCGGGTGGCGAACAGTAGGGGAAAGGTGGGGCAAGATAGGACGTCTACTTTATTTATAAAGTAGACCATAATAAAAATAACCATAAAAGAGAGCTTAACGACGTGTCACCGTTGGGTATCACCCAAACCATTTGTGGGATAGTTTACCCACCCGGGATACAGTTCGTTTATGGTATTTCAAGCTGAACATTGCATTAGGTCCTAGGTAACATTGATCCATTCACGTACTCTAACGGAACTATCAATTCTATACTTTCATCTCACCACTCTAGTCTGTTATTTGAAATTAGCATCTTCAACTACCTAATTTAATGTTCAGCTTGATTTGTTTATTAGGGGTGGTAGATCTCATGAAAATGTTATTAGAAAAAATGTAATGACCTTAGTTACAAATTGTATGGTGACATCTCTGCTGTAAAAATGTACAATTACCACCTCTGGCCCAATGCTGGTTTGAAAAGACAAACGATCATTGAGGTTGCATGAACCTGTTCATATTGACACACAAATTAATTAATAAATGAACCCATCCTGCTCCTCACTCATGTTGCTCAACTTTACCCGCCACTCTAAAAAATCTTCACGTCGTATTTAGAAAATCTCAAATGTCACCTGCCGTTAGTAACTTTGACCTGCATTACACGTCATGTCCACTAAAAATGTTGGTGAAATTGACCGTATATTCACGCAAACAGATTTAGTGTACCTATTTGTGTTTGGGACTTCGATATTTCCGTGAAACGAGATTTACGTGATTTTCAGGTACGCAAAATAAATCAATATGGCGTCACCGAGCGTGGTGGAAGAACTCATCAAAGATTCAAAATTCCTCAGCGCTTGCTGCAAATGTTGGTAATTAGATTCTTTTACATTAATTTATTTATGATTATATGTAGCCTTTTTCTAGTTTTATGATTTCAGACGGTGACATCAGCATTTTGAGTCTGCAAACAGGTGTTAATATTTTGTCAGAAAAAAAACACTCATACACGTGTCTACCACATAATAATAAATTAGTCAATATTTTACAATTTTATGAGTAGATATAAGTATTAATTTAAACACTTGAAATTTATATCTTCCTGATAAAATTGCATAATATTGACTGCTTCTATATATACTTTCAATTATTCTCATTGAAAATTCACAAATTACATGAAAAGCATTTCAAACAAAACGGAATGTCACGTAAAAGTCACCAGATGTCCAGTAGTTTTCACTCCGATTTCACGTAAGCAGTACATGAAAATCAGGTCTTGTTTACCTGACTAATCACGTAGATAATTGAAACTGAATTTTGATCGGCTACGTGCAATTCCGGTAAAAGTTACGTGAAAAATAGGGTGAACGAAAACCACCAATATTTTCACGTCAAGATTTTTCAGAGTGCGGCAATTGGGTTGTTTAGGGGCATTAGGGTAAATATCATTCGTTATATTTTTAGTATAAAAACGTCAATAACTCTTGATCGGCGAAAGATATTGACAAGCTTTGTGCAGCAAAAATTTGCGCCTTTTTAAGATCTAAAAGTTATTTGAAGACACCTTTGCTGAGAAATTCGAAGTAACAAAACTAGAGCAAAACAAATGTTTTTTTTAGAGCTACCCTAACTCAATTTAAGAAAATTGCTATAAATCGGCCAATTTAAGAGATACAAAAAAGTTGTTTTCAACAAAGTTGCTTGAAATTAGCTCATCTATAACTTTGCCGAAGAATGTATACCTTAATTTATTCAAACAAAAAAGTTAGATTTTTGATTTTAATAATAATAGGAATAGGGTGGTACATTGTCATAAAAAATGAGGGCCTAACTATAAGAAACAACTTTGTAGAAGTGACTTTCCGTCTAAAGTTTCAATTTCACTCTCAAAACATATCATTCCACCTAAATCTGCATTCTGGACCACTGTGCAATGGATGGCAATCGATGTCCGTCGGTGATTGGCACTAGATTACGGAACAGAAATCGACGGAATGAAGAAGAAGAAGAAGTTTGGATGATCTCCAAAGTGTTTGCTTAGAGTTGTATTAATTAACGTTGATGTCAACCTCAAAGCAGCCTGTCATTCTTGATCGGGATTTAATCCGAGGATAATACCGGTTAGAGCTTACCACCATTAGTGTCAACGATCAAAAATTTAAATCTTGATTTAAAATCGAGATGAATGTCTACGGAATCGATAAAACATATCGTTGTGCTCAGAAAACGAAGCTCTATCAGATGATGTATAAAAATCGGCATATTTTTCGAAGTTAAACAACCCAATTGCTTCTTTTTCCATCACTATATAGGATTTTCACAGAAGTGTGTCATGGAAGGCTTGGAGAACCTTCTTCGTGTACTTTTCAAGTAACAGTACCGGACAAAAGTATAAATATCACGTCAAGAATTATCAATTTCACATGGCATTGCGAAGTTTTTCTTCATTAGGCTCGAGTCATTTTAATTTCGTCGTTTTCAAATTTCGCTTTCGATTTCGCTCTCACCAATCCCACCTTTGAACATATCTAGATATAGCTGGAATTAAGGCGTAACAGCTTTTGTAAACAAAGACGAGAGAAATTTCTTTTTGCCAGTAAAATACAGATATACAAATCAATCATCTCTCCTCATCTTGACTTTTGCCCTTCCATTTTATTTCTGGCCAATGCAACACAAATATCGAGATTACAGCGCTTGCAGAATAAAATAATGCGTTTGATTTTGAGATGTAATAGATTCACTTCCTCAACTTTGATGTTAGACGCCTTACAATGGTTGTCGGTGAAGCAAAGAATTGTATATTTGACTATGGTGTTCATTTTTAAAGTAGTTAACGGTTTGCTGCCTCGATATTTGTGTGATCGAATTGAAAGAGGAAGTGACTTTCATAGATATAATACTAGAAACGCGGTTGAAATAAGAACACCACATTTCTTGACTTGTGCTTCACAAAATTCATTATATTATAAAGGAATAAATGTTTTCAATTCGATGCCTAGACTTATCAAACGTTTAGCAACACTAACAGAATTTAAAAGACACTGCATTTCACACGTTAAAACTGTCTTTTGAACAGTTATCCAGTGATTTTTTTTTATGAATTGACAAATTATGTATCTTGACGAAGTTATCTCTAACGGATTATTTTATATGGATAGCTGTCATCTTTTTAATAATTATTGTAGCACTGCAAAAACTATTTCTGTTCGCCACGAGGGTGATGATGGATTTTTAATATTTGATTTAATAGTAGATTAATTTAAAAAAAAATAGTCTACAAAGGTTTGAGTCTCGTGCGCGTATTACGGATATAGAGGACTAAATTTAACATTTGATAAATAAAAATGCAATTTTGAAGCTTATTTAAAAGATACCTTGAGTTAGTAGTAAGTTTTCTGGCAAATGTTAGGGGTTCGTGAGCATTCCTGACATTGTTGAAAATTATGATAGCATCAGATTGCGGGGTTGCTAGTGTAATAGGATGCTTTGTTGATTGTTCATTAACTCTTGATTGCTTGTAATACTTATGAATATTTTAGGTGGACAAAAAGGCGAACTAAGAGGTGGACGCCTGAGCTTTTCCACATTTATATCGCTGTAAAGCAACTGTAAACTCTAGAGGTAATTTATATCTGTAACTGAAACCAGTTCGATTTTGTTTGCCAACCTGGTTAAAATGTTATATTCAATTATCTTAAAGATAAATCGTCCAGCTCAAACCTTTGTAGGGGTAAGAGGTGGGACCATCATCATCATCATCTAAAGTCATGGCTATCCCTGGCAAATCGACATCACCATCGAGTAGAGGAAGACTTCTCCTACCCGATGGATATGTTGGTTTGTGTAGGCGTGTCTTGAATTCCGAGAAATCAACAAGAGAAGTTATTGTTTACAAAGGTTGTTACGCCCTTTGGTTTCCATGACATTTCTCGCGTCACTTTTCAAAAGGTTCTAAGTAACAAATGTAAACAAATCGAGTTAAGCGATACAAACTATTGCTCTTCTATCATTGTATGTGATAC